GCAGGGCTCCTGGGAAGCCAGAGGGCCCTGCACCCCAACTCTGCAGTCAGACGTGACTCTCAGCGAGCCGGTAAAACAGAAGGTTTATTAGTTGACAGGAACACAGCATAGAACAGAACTTGTTAGCACGAAATCAGTGACTTTTAGCCAAGTCCATCTTGGGGGGAGGGGAGCCCAGAGCCAGCCGAGACTGACTCGCTTCCAGCTGCCTGGCCCCTGCCCTGCCCGTTGCTCCTCCTCTGGCCTTTGTCTCGCTTCCCGGGCCAAGAGTCACCTGGTCGCATCCCCCTCCTGGGCCTCCGGTTATGAAGGGGTGGCCATAGCATCCATGCAGGCAGCTGGAGCAACCCCCACAAAAGTCACATGCCCTTATTCCCACCACCTAGACATTGGTGCAATACACAGGGAAACTGAGGCACATACAGCAGTCATGCAAAACAGTAAGACTCGCATAGGCTCACATACAACATAACAAGGGAAAATCCCCACTTCGTCACACAGGCTCTGTCATAGGTCTGCAGTTGTGGGAGGGAGGCCATTTTATTTAAGGTGGCATTTGTTGTTGCCTCTTTGGCGCTTTTAGAGTGAGTACGCTGGTGCCTGTGGCAGCTGCGGACAGGTCCTAGCATGCGTTAAGTGTAACAGACGTGCAACTATCTGCAGGAGTGGTGACCCTGCATTTAAGGTACTGGAAAATAGACCAGAAGGGAAAGAGGGCTTATGTGGTGTTAAAGGAATGTGCAGATGGGTGCTTGGGCCTTGTACAGACAGTAGGAGCCTTGCAAAAAATCTGGGGCCTGCAACCGGGACTGCTGTTCATACGCGGTGATGGCAGTTGCCTGACAAGATACCAGTTCAGCACAGTATTGAGAAAACCTTGCACTACTGCTGTCTTGACCACTCCCCCTATCCCCCCGAAATTTGGTACTCGTTCTTTCAGGATCGGGGCAATAACATCAGTGGCTACAGGGTGTTTTGGCCCACATCAGGTGCAGGCAGTAGGGAGCTGGAAATCGAGGTGTTACAGGACTTATGTCTGCACCTAGGAAAATATGGCAGGGAATGACAAAATGTAACTAAATCAATGTGCTTTTTTGTTTCAGAAGCTACACTGAGCATATGCAGTATCTTGACTTGCAGGCACTCTGTAGTTCATTGAGCCCACAAGAGAGTAGCCAGAATGGCATCTGGATCTCAGCTGGGCCGAAGCAGTTTGCATCCAGTGGTTCAGCAGAAGAGGCATGCATTGGGATCAGCTCATGCCACTTCTGCACTCGCTGACAAGCAGTGTGCACACATTTCACATCCTGGTTATTTACCTTGCGGAGAATGATCTTGGCACCAGTATAGGACTTAACTCAAGGGACAGAATCGAGAGGGATGTTAGCTTAATTGGGCAATCATGACTGGAGGTGAGGAGAGCAATGCTTGCAAGGCGGGTCTGTTGGGGAGCTGCAGACCCAGCCTGCATTGACAGGACTAGAAAAAATGTGACTTGAGAGGGTCACCAAGGTATTCCTGGACACGGGGGGTGGTGGTCAGCGATACAGCATAGCAACATCTGTTACCACCGACTGGTAGTTTTCAGAGATGACGGTGTACATTTGTCAGATGGAGGTGCTGACCTGTGGCTACAGGATGTAAGGGAATGGACGGGGCAGGAATTGTGATAACGGGCAATGTGGCTGGGTAGGGGGGAGTGACCAAGCTAGTTGCTGGTACCCCCGTGGCTGGTTTCCAGTGTGGTTAAGAGAATGAAATGAACGGTTCCCAGAGGTAAAAGACCTGGGATTTTGGTGATGGGCCTTGGACTCGTGTGGTAGGGTGAGACCTTTGGGCTTCGCAGGCCGAGGTCAGGTTTTGTGGCCATCGTGGGTCAAGGTTCCCACCCTGCTGCAACCTCTGTCCCTCTTGTGGGAAGGGGGTAGGGGAGGGTGCTAGGACTCAGAGCTGATTTCTGGTGGGAAAGGCTGAGCAGAGCCTACCCCAGGTTATGGGTTATAAGATAAGGAGCCCTATAAACCCTAGCCCCAGTTACAACTTGTATAAGGAGTGCTGCAACCCCCAAACTGGAACCAGTTAAATGCCTGGTATGGGAGAATAGGGGTGATGGGTGGGTAGTATCCCTCCTTTGTGTTAAAGTTTAATAAGAGTTGCGATCTGCCACGTAATTCCATGCACGTGTCTATGTTCATTTTGCTGCTTTGTCGACATTGACTACCTTTGCGAGATGCAGTGGACATTCCTAACCCAGCAGTTTCAAGCCTCCTAAACTGATGGATTTATTTTATAAGACAATTTATAGGTGGGAATAAAATTGCCCTATTCTTATAATGCTTAGAAAACATAAATCTCTATTAGTGCTTATTAGCAGCAGAATATCAGCATGCTCAGTGTCATAAACCTCAGAATGGGTGTAGAAATGGGAACTGTGAGAGACCGAATAAGAGGGACAGTTTGGAAACACGTTATTTTATTTTACCAGTTTGCATAATTTTCTGTCCAATCAAATCTGACAGAGTCATCTGTTATCAAGTCATTTATGGTTGGGGAGAATATCCCCAAAATTGGTGAAATGTGGTGGAATTCTTGTGTCAGTTTTCTGTTATATTTAAAGTGCAGAGTTGGCTTTAAATATGTGTTCGTCTCAAATAATTAGGTAGCTTTATATTTGTTCTTAGTGCAGAGAGAGGTTTTTTATATTTTTGCTTTTCCCCCCTGACTTTCGAATGTATTCTCTCCCTCTCAACATACCCTTGACTTCATAAAACAAATGTGTATGAAAATTAGACATTAGAAAGGGTCAATCTAAACAAATTACCTATTATCAGATTAATATCCAATATGTCCTCTTTCTGGGGACTATACCTTGAATATGCAAGGGGGACTGGACTTGGAGAGATTTTTCACCTTAGTCTTCTGTGATCTTGCTGTTACAGAGAGTAAGGGAAAGCGTGAAAGACATGACAATAGGGGGACCAGATGTCCCGATTTTATAGGGACAGTCCCGATTTTTGGGTCCTTTTTTTAATATAGGCTTCTATTACCCTCCACCCCCTGTCCCGATTTTTCACAGTTGCTGTCTGGTCACCCTACATGACAAACAATTTTCTAGTCTGTTTTTGAACTGAATCATCTTTACTTGCTGACTAGTTCCTGTTTGGCAGTTACTTCTGCAAAAGATTTAAAGAATTGTTTTCTAATTGTAATAGTTTTTCCTATGCCATTAATGCACATCTTTGTCAAGATTACATTTGATTCTGTGTTTATGGAGACACTCGTGCAAGCAGTCTGTCTGCTTTGCTGCCAGACATAGTCAAAGGACTGGATGGAAGGTTCATAAACAAAGCACCACTTGTTCAACGCAATTTTTATTCTGTAAACCTATTTAGTCTATAACACTTCATAAACACCACACGTTACATACTTTATTTACGCATATTTCTTTAGAATTGGAGGGAGCATGTGTTACTAGTTCAAGTCTCATGGCGACAATTACTAACCTAATTAAGCACACTACATTTCATCCAATTTGCAATATAGTAGTTGCAGAGGTTTTAAATTTTGCAGATAGGGGTGCTGTGTTACTAAGAGTCAAGTGGAACAAAGGGAAGCTTCTTTTAGCATCAGCTGTATCAGTCACCCGATAGATTAAGCAGGCCGTACACTCAGTGCTAATTCTTTCAATTTTGAAATCTTTTCCTGAAAAAAATCTGATGAACCACAGTAAGAAACAATTGAAGATTGCACAATTTCCTTTGTACCAAGGACTTCATGCAGAACTCTGTCAAAATATGGGCCATTCATCAACTGTGACAAAGTTCCTCCTCTATCTTGGTGGGTCCTGCGCTTATTGGCGGATTTTCTTGCCTCAGAGATTCACCATGTGGGTTGGGGAACAGCCCAGAGACCTTCCCCTC